TACTCTCTCTCTCTCTCTCTCTCTCTCTCTCTCTCTCTCTCTCTCTCTCTCTCTCTCCCCACAAAAACAAAAGACAAAAAAGAAAAAATTAATCCCCAAAAGAGACTGGTACTCAACCCATGCACTCAGTAGAATGCATGGATGGTGCAGAGAGAGAGTCCGACAGTAAAGAGAGCATCCATTTTGAAACCAGAAGATCATCCTGGTTTAACACAAAAGTCAGCCACCTGCATCTGCTTCAATGACGAGAATATGAGAAAATAAAAGCGCTACTAGGCTAGTTAAAAGTAACAAGCATTAATCCTCAGATGATTCAAAGATTAAATGGGAACTAACCAATCAAAAAAAAAGGTAACCAGCATTAATTGATCCAATATATCTCAATGCACCCTTCTTCAGTTTTTTGAGGAAAAAGACTTGCCCAAGTAAATGAAAAACAAAGCTTATTGTAAAGAATATTCTTGTTTATACGTACATCTTCCTTCTCCTCTCGAAGTTCTCGCAATCGCTCCTCCTCTAACCACTTAGCTTGCTCAGCAAGTTTCTTCTTATAAGCATTTGTGACAAACTTCTCTTTATCTTCATATAGGTGGTCCTCCTTGCCCCTTTCCTTCGCAAGTTTCCTCTCATAAATTATTTCATGTTCTTGCTCCCTTTTTTTGGCTTTCTCAATCAACTTGCCTATGTATTTTGACTTAAAAAAAAATGACTATAAGTAGCCATATTAGATTCAACTTTGCAACAAATTATATGGGAAACAAACATCTTTAGTTCAGTGTGCACTGCTGAAATCAATATAAGAAAACATTAAAGAACAAGAATTAAGAAATCCAAGAGAAGAGAAACTCCAAAATATTTACAAAACCAAGAGACATTTGCATTAGTAAGAGAAATCAAAAACCAAAATAAGGCAAGAATCATAATTTAAGCACAATGATGCAGCAATGACCTCCAAAAGGAAAGACTCCACAAGGGCCAAACTTCCTAAGAATATTCCCTAGCTCCCCTTTTGTTGTTGACAAAAAAAAATGTCATTGTCAGTGACTCCGTGTTACTAACACTCTTTTTTGTTTCTGTCCAGAGACAGTTATTAACACAAAGTGACACAGTGATATTAACACTCACAAGGTATAAAGGACACTGAGAATGTTAGAAGAGTATGAATCTGCCAATTTAACTGGGCTGGTGCCCAAAATTGTATATTTAGAAGTTAGATATTCGATTCAAAACTTGAAAAAGATGTCGAGAGACACTACACGTAAATCAAGGCAGAGACAAAACCACTGATGCATACCAAGCTTGTATGGAAGAAAGAAATTTAAGGAAAAAACTTTAATAGATGGTTTTCCTTTTCTTTCTTTTTTTCACTTAAGATAGAATCATACTGAAGAAATCCCCAGGATCCCAGTACTTCCAAGAATGGTTCCAGATTTTTGCAAATAAACATGAGGATAAGGATGTGCATACCACATTTCAGCAATCCATGATTTGAAGCAAAACCAAAGAGTGCAAAGAGCACCCCTGACAATGGTTCAGAATAACTATTGCAAATAAATCAAGTATAAGAAGGCACAGAATACATTTTTGGATGCCCAGGATTTCTAAACAAACACAAAGATTGGAAGGAGAATTTTGAAGTTCAACGACTAGTAGATTGTAAGTTTGCAACGAAAACCCTAATACAAGATTTATGGAAAAGATATGGATTCAGCCAGCGAAGAAATAGCCAATTTAAACATTAGACTAAATGTAGCTATAAGCCTCTCTGAAAGTTTTATTGCATGTTATTATCTGGGTCCACTCAATTTTTTCTGCTAATCAAAATTTGTAAACTATTCAAGCAATGCAATTTCATTGACTCGGCAGTAAGTAGGACTGTGATGATGCCAATTAAACATTGAAATAATAGACCTCCAAAAATATTAAAAAAAAATATTTACTGAGATGGACAGACCTTCAACAAGACAACTATAATATCCCATCCATTGTTGATCTATCCAGACCAGCTTTGCTCTATAGGACGGAATGTTAAGCGGTCAAAAAACAATATACCCATAGAATGAGTGTAGCAGAGATGAGGATGTTGAGATGGATGATTGGCAAGACAAACAAAATTCGAAATGAAATTTAAGTGTGCACCAATAGTCGATAAGATGAGAGAGAGTAGACTTAGGTGGGCTAACCATGTGTGCGCAGACCCAGTATAGTACCTATTAGGAGGTGTGAATTAGTTAAAGTAGAAAACTTAAAAAAGGCAAGGGGTAGGCCCAAAAGGACATGGTTGGAAGTGGTGAGAAGTCATCACCATTTTCCCATTGTTCTTGGCTTCATTCTCACTGGTTTTTACTTTGTATCTTTGTTTCATCAATCGCATCATTAAATTTCAAATGAAAACTTTTATAAGAGAACAGGATATACAATATGATTTTCAACATGCATCAATCAAAATTCATCGCTTTAAGGCAGGGCATATCCTTAATGAGATACAGCGCTAAGCAACTGCAACTCACACAAACCGCATGATAAATCACAACATATAATAAAGAATGAAAATAATTTGAGTTGCAACTGCCTTTGAAAAGTTGAAAGTTTGAAAACAAGGAGAAAAAGTCACATAAGCCAGTACAACAACAACGTTGAAAAGGCTAAAACATCTTATGGCATCCAACAGTGCCACCTCCATCCTGATCCCTTGAATCTCTCCAGCAAAAGAAAGTAGTGCAGACCTGACCAAAATCACAAGCATCGCTTTGCAGTTATTGTTTTAAGGTTTCAAAAACACTTTACTCTCTCAAGCAAAGGAGATATGGATTAATTAGACTTAGAACACAATAGATGCTTCAAAGCATATGAAAACATCTACCAATCAAAACTAAAAAATAAAATGTGGAGTATCACATTATCACATAGTTGCTGTTTATGCCTCTATTTACATACTCAAACAATTGTAGTAGTTCCATAAGAAACCTATAACAATTTAATAAGGGCATTAACTCATAGAAACCTCACATCACAAACCATGAAATTGGAGCAAACCATCACCCACTAATGAAAGAAAACGCACTTGCACTAAGCCAAAAAAAGGAAATAAGACAATTCTCACAAAACAAAATGACTATTAACAAGATGAGCAACCTCAAGATTTAAGTACCTCTCTCTTTTGTCGGTCTTGTTGGATCGGATTGGCTATCTGAGACTTCATTTGATCATAAACCCCATCATAATCGAATACAGAAGGATCCTCTTCAAGAGCTTTTTTATGAAGATCCTCAACCTGAAATCATGTGAGCTAAATAAAAAATAAAGGAAAAGATAAATCATCAAATGGGAAAACATTATGCAAATCGTAACACTTTTTGAAACACAGCTAACTAATGAATAATACTAAAGTGATCACAGCCTCACTTTTTAAGTGGCATCCAATGGTATGGCAGAAAAATACTACTATGAAAATAAGGCTTTCGTGAACAAGAGAAGAAAAAGTGTAGCGAAAAGGGATTTCATGAAACAGCTCAAGGATTCTTCAAGAGTTTATCATCTTAGTAAAGCTCTTTAAGAGCTAAAAGAAATCCCCAAAAGCGTGGTTTGCAACTTATGAACTTTATAACTCATGCAACTCTTTTTGAACATAAATCATATAATCCAAATTACACCACTAAACCTTTCAATCTCAACTGCTAAATGTGAATGTCATCGTTCACAAGAGTATCATGACCTTCAGTTCTTGTACATCATATGATGCTTTTCTTAGCTTTCATTAATAAATGTAAGAGAGTGAAAATAACCTCTTTTATGGATCTTTTCTTTGCAGCATGTCGAGCAATCTCATTCTCAACATTTTCTTCATCACTATCATCGTTGAGGAAGCCAGGTGGAGGAGGTAAAGGAGCTTTCAAAGGCTTCTTGGATTGAGGAGGAGCTCTCAGTTGGAGGCCATATTTCTTCATTTCAAATTTGCAGTCTTTCACAATACAATCGTCCTATTTATAAATCAATAACCTTCAGCATTTAAACATTGGATGCCTTTGATAACCAAAATTAACTCAAATTTGGTCAAAACTAACTAAAATTTTGAAATTAAAGGAAAATGTCTTTGTAATCCCCCTAAAAAAACCCAAAGTACACTAAAGGCCTTGCTTGGGTAAGAGGAAATAAAAAATATCTAGCATTGGAAATTCATGAATTTCCAGTATCAAAGATTCCTAAAATGGATTTCTCAAATCTCCTGTTTGGATACACAATGCAAAATTCATGGATCCTTGCAGCCATTTCCATGTCCATTGTTCAGAAATCAAACAGATTTCCATGGATTTTTCAAGTGTGTGCTATCTTCCAATAAGAAGAATGAACTAAATCACTAGTTAGTAATTCATAAAACACCATTGTTTAATAAATATTACTAAATAGTTATTACATTGACATATAACCACAATTATTTAATATTGCATAAATATTTAATAAAACATGGATATTAATTAAAACAAGTCTATCTAATAAATCATGATTATTTATAAATGTAAATAATTAAAAACTGATGATTTGATAAAACAATATCACTTGATAACACATGATTAATTAATAATACACCACTATTTAATGAGACATGAAAGTTATTAAAAAGCATAAATTTAATAAATCATGATTGCCTAGAAAAGATTTATTAGTTTATAAAAATGAATATTTACTAAGAACAAAATTAGTAAATAATGCATGATTAATTAATCAAACACAATTATTTCATAATGCATATTTTTAAATAAAACACGAACATTTATTAGAACATGTCTTATCTAATAAAGGGTTATCTTAGGGTACTCATACATATGAGTATTTTCTTAAGATACTCAACATTTTTGGACACTTGATACCCTTACCCTACCATATAGTAACTTTTTTGCTTAGGGGTATTTAAGTAATTAATCAAACGTAAGGTAAAATTATTGATTGAAAGATAGACATTTATTAACTATAGTGGAGGATAACATCATCCACATAAGGTGTGACATCATCCACATGAAGCAATGATTGCTTCTTAACCACTAGTAAAATACCACTAGTTTCTGATATAAATATTTATCATATCCCTCCTAATGACGAAAAATACCTTTACTTAATAAAATTTGTATTACAAAAAAATGTTTACATTACAAAAATACTGATATGTATGAATACTCTAATATAACCCTCTAATAAATTGCTATTAATTAAAATGAAAATCTAAAAGTGGTTATTTAATAAAAGGTGTGGTTTGCATAAGGTAGCAACCTTAAACAATCCAATTAAGGCGCACCTCTAAATTTTATCATAAATGTAATTTTGATATAAAAAATTCTTGGGATGGTTTGAGCATCTATTTTCATTTCTAATTATAAAATTTTAAACTCTAAATATAGTTCAAATCAAGTAGATCTACAAACACATGAAAATCTTGAAAATGAACAGTCCAGATAATGTGTTGCAAGATCCACTATTTCGCAGACTCGTAATTTTTGTTTCTTTTCACATTCATACATTTCGATGTCAAGATGATCAATTAGAGGGTTTACCGACATCCAAAAAACACTTTATTATGGATTTTTGAGGTGCACCTTTAATTCTACATTTTAGGGTTGCAACCTTATATAAATTTTTTTTGGTAATAAAACATGATTATCTAATAAAAATTTATTATTTAATAATAAATAACTATTTAATAAAACACAAATACTTACTAAAACACTATTTCTTAAGAAACGATAGCATTTAATAAATATGAGTATTGCATAAAGCACTGACAATTGACACTAAACTAAAGACGTGAGTAGCAAAGAAATACAGACATCATTTGCTTTTTAACAGCACTTAAGTAACCATTTTCAGTGATAAATTCCACATTTTCATCTAAAAAGCTCATAGTGAAAAACAATATTTCACAGCAAGATGCATATTGATATAAAAACAGCCCTCCTCAAGCCTTCACTTGCCAAAGCATTGCATCATATAGACATAGGAACTCTATCAAGAAGCACATAACGAGGGAGAATCCATTCCTGCTTGTAAATGCATAAACCCATCCAAGCATTCCAATACAAAGATCAAAGCCAAAAGATATTCCAAACTTTCATGACCATCAAAACCCCCTCCATTCGTAATGTTCATGACCATTACATCATGTAGTATTCGATCAAATTTGAGAACATTCATACCGTTCCATCCCCACCCTCCCTCTGCCCTCTCTCTCTCTCTC